CAGTCCTCTCAAAAACTCACGGCAAACCAATGATTTTCGCCTTTTCGGAGGCCTCTGGGGCCGTCTTGGGCCATCTTAGGGCCATGTTCGGCCGTCTTGGTGGGCTCCTGGTCCGTCGGACGCCGTCGGAAGCCGTTTGGGGGGCCTCATGGGCCGACTTGGGGCCCTCTTGGAATGCTCTAGGGCCGTCTTGGAGGCCCATCTTGGGCGTCTTAAAGGCCTCCTGTGCCGTGTTGGGGGCCTCTTGGGGCCGTCTTGGGGCCCTCTTGGGCCGTTCTGGAGCCATCTTGGAGGCCTCTTGGGCGATCTTTCGGCGATCTTCGGGGGCTTTTGGGCCGTCTCGGGCCGTCGGAAGGCCGAAAAGAAGCAAATGTCAAAATCCGTCAAAAAAAATTAGGAAAATCAATGTTTTGGGCCTCTTCTGGCCTTCCTGGAGGCCCTCTTGGGGGCCTATTGGGCCGTCTTGTGCCAGCTTCGAGCCAACTTCGGCCATCTTGGTGGGTTCCTGGCACGTCTGGCGCCGTCGGGAGCCGTCTTGGGGGCCTTTCTGGGCCGACTTGGGGCCCTCTTGGGGCGCTTCGGGGCCGTTTTGGAGGCCATTTTGAGCGTCTTGGAGGCCGTCTTGGGGCCCTCTTGGGGCCGTCTTGGAGGCCACTTGGGCCGTCATTGGGCCCTTTGGGGGGCCTCTAGGGCGATCTTGGGGGCCTTCTGGGCCGTCTTGGGCCGTCGGAAAGCCGAAAAGGCGCAAATGCCAAAATCCTTCAAAAACCAAAGGAACATCAATGATTTTGGCCCTTTCGGGCCTTCCTGGAGGACGTCTTCGAGGGCTCTTGGGCCGTCTTGGAGGCCTCTTGCGGGCCTGTTGGGCCGTCGTAGACCATCTTGAGGCCATCTTGGGCCGTCTTGGAGGCATCTTGAGGCCATCTTAGCCGTCTTGGACGCCATCTTGGACCGTCTTGGAGACCATCCTGAGCCATCTTGGCCGTCTTGGACGCCATCGGGCCAACTGGAGAAAACAGAGGCACGACGGACGCGTTTTGAGATCCTTTCCGGGTGGCCGGCGGGACGGGCCGAAGCCCCAGGGGGAGTTCTTGTTGAAAAAGAACCAAAACCAAAAGCCATATAATTCGGCACGCCAGGCACCCTTTTGATAAATCAAAAGGGGGCGGCGGATCGAAGACGCCTAATTACGGCGAATCACCGCCGCCCCCTGCCTTTTTGGAAGCGCCTATGTGGCCGAACGTTGAGGCCAGACCTGCCAAGCTATCGGACCACGTGTTCCCCGAATCGGTTTGGAAAGCCTTCGGGGAACACGTGGGCATCTTGAAAGTCATCTTGGCCATTTCGACCCTTTCGGGCCTTCTTGGAGGACGTCTTGGAGGGCTCTTGGGCCGTCTTGGAGGCCATCTTGAGCGTCTTGGAGGCCTCTTGGGCCGTCTTGGGGGCCTCTTGGGGCCGTGTCTTGGGCCTCCTGGGCGATCTTTGGGGGCACTTGGGTCGTCTCGGGCCGTCGGAAGGCAGAAAACAAAAAAAAAAAAAAAAAAAATGTCACAATCCTTTCAAAAACTCACGGCAAATCAATGATTTTGGACTTTTCGGGCCTTCCTGGAGGCCCTCTTGGAGGCCTCTGGGGCCGTCCTGGGCCATCTTAAGGCCATGTTCGGCCGTCTTGGTGGGCTCCTGGTCCGTCTGACGCCGTCGGAAGCCGTTTGGGGGGCCTCTATGGGCCGACTTGGGACCCTCTTGGAATGCTCCAGGGCCGTCTTGGAGGCCATCTTGGGCGTCTTAACAAGGCCTCCTCGTCGGAAGCGTCAAAAACTTACGGAAAAAACAGTATGTGTTGCCTCTTCTGGCCTTCCTGGAGGCCCTCTTAGAGGCCTCTTGTGCCAGCTTCGAGCCAACTTCGGCCATCTTGGTGGGTTCCTGGCACGTCTGACGCCGTCTTGGGGGCCTTTCTGGGCCGACTTGGGGCCCTCTTGGGGCGCTTCGGGGCCGTCTTGGAGGCCATCTTGGGCGTCTTGGAGGCCATCTTGGGCGTGTTAGAGGCCTCTTGGGCCCTCTTGGGGCCGTCTTGGAGGCCACTTGGGCCGTCATGGGGCCCTCTTGGGGGCCTCTTGGGCGATCTTGGGGGCCTCTTGGGCCGTCTTGAGCCGTCGGAATGCCGAGAAGAAGCAAATGCCAAAATCCGTCAAAAACCTAATGAAAATCCATGATTTTGGCCTCTTCCGGCCTTCCTGGAGGACCTCTTGGAGACCTCTTGGGCCGTCTCGGAGGCCTCTGGGGGGCCTTTTGGGCCATCTTCAGGCTATCTTAGGCCGTCTAGGATACATCTTGGGCCGTCTTGGATGCATCTTGGCCGTCTTGGAGGCCATATTAGGGCCGTCTGGGGCAGGAAAACCGTTTGCAACCGGGTCTTCTGGGTGGCCGGCGGGACAGGCCGAAGCCCCAGGGGGAGCTCTTCGGAAGAAAGAACCAAAGCCAAAAGCCATATGTTCCGGCACGCCAGGCACCCTTTTGATAAATCAAAAGGGTGCGGCGGATCGAATGGCCTTCGGCCCATCCCGCCACCGTGTCTGGGTTGTGGGTGTAAAGTCTACTTGATGGATCTCGTAGGATGCCTCTCGGGGGCCTCTGGGAGGCAGTTTGGAGGCCCCTTGAGGGCCGTTTCGGGGCCTCTTGGGGGCCGTTTCGGGGCCTCTTGGTGTTTCTTTTGGGCCTCTTGGGGGCCCCTTGGGGCCTCTTTGGGGCCTCTTGGGGGCCTCTTGGGGCCTCCTGGGCGCCTGTTGGGGCCTCCTGAGGGCATCTTGGGGCAGAAGGCTCGGATGTTCGGTTCGGGTTCCCTCTATTGGGCTCTTTTTGGTGCCGTCTTGGGGCCGTCTTCGGGCGCTCTTAGGCCGTCTTGGGGTCCTCTTGGGGGCCTCTTGGGCCGTTTCGGGCAGTTTTGGGTGGTGTTTGGGGGCCTCTTGAGCTGTCTTGGAGCGTCGGAAAGTCGAAAAGACGAGAACGCCAAAATCTTGCAAAAACCGCAGGACAATCAATGAATTATGCCACTCGAGGCCGCATGGGAGGCCTCTTGGAGCGTCTTGGAGGCCTATTGGGTCAGCTTGAGGCAATCTTGGGCGTCTTGGAACAATCTTTCGGCGACTCGGGGCCCTCTTGAACCGTCTTGGGGGCCTCGTGGGGCCCTCTTGGCCCGTATTGGGGCCTTCTTGGGCCCGAAACAGTCGTGCGGAACCAAGCGGGAAGCATTGGGAGATTTGGCAATTTCGGGTTCGGGCCCCTTCAATATTCTTCAGGATTGAGGACTGAGACCCCAGAGATTAGGCAAAGGACCTGAGGACACGCCCACTCCGTGCCCAGAGGCACGGTGGTGGATTTCCCAATGTGAATAAATACTACTCCCTCTCTCTCCTCTGATGACAGTCTTCACGTCTCCCCTAGTATCCCACATGTTGTTTTGCACACAGGGCCTGTCCCGAGTTGAGTTTCGGCATTCGTTTTCTATGTCAGAGCGTCCTCGGCCCTTTAAACATGCTGCTACAGCTGCAGCGCTGGCGGCCTTGTCAGGATCCGCGTCTTGTTCCGTTCGTTCAGAGTTGCGCTCTCGCCCCAGCGCGGGCCCCAGTTCTGGATCCGATTCGTTCCTCGTCGTTTCCCTGCCCTCTCTGTCCCCGCTCCCCGTTCCTGTGGTCCTCCTGCTACCCCTGCTCCTGCTGCTGCGCCTCCTTCGTCCTTTCGGAGGGGCTCTCGAGGGGTCTTAGAGAGATCAGGGGGGGTCGGATCTCACAGTCGGTAAGAGGCTGCGGGCTCACAGCCATCCCACGCCGTTTCCCCTGATGGAGCCGGGGCCCTGCCAGACCCCGTCACAGGCCACCCGTTCCCATTGTTCGAGGCACCTCGGAGCGGCGACAAAGGGTCCAGGGCTCGGGCCCCAGCCGTCCCAGTCTGTTGCTGTCCTGCCTTTCTCCAAGCGGCCCGTGGCCCCTCGGCTTAGGCTCGAAACCGTGTTGCTTGCCGTCGGCCTCTCTAATCTAACCGAGCAGAGGCCGAGTCTGCTGGCAGGCGGGCGCTGCTGGAAAGGGCCTCTGGCCCCAGACCGGGAGATCGGCTCCTTAGGCCGAGATTGATTCGGCAGAAGGGCAGGTGTGTGTGTGTGTGTTTGAAGAGCTTGTCGGTGGGCCCTGGCAGGGCTCGTTGCCCACGTCAGGGAGCAAGGGCTCTCACCCCCCAGTTCATTTTCTCTCCCCGTCGGGCCGCCCCTCTATGGACGGTGAACACTCGTCCTCGTAATCCTGGTCTTCATCCTGCTCAGCCGCCACATCATGCTCCTCCTCCTCCTCCTCCTTCTCCCCGTCCAGTTGCAATGCCCCCATTTCTGATCATTCATACATCACACGATGGGTAGTTTGGGGGGGCGAGGTCATCTGGGACACCCCAGCCAGCGGATCAGACAATAGCCCAGCTTGATGGGAATGGGTGGGCAGGAGGGGTGGGATGTCAGAACTGGCGCGAGCGCACCTATCTTGTCCTCTCTCCCTCCTCCCCCTCCCTCCTCTTCGGGGGTGCGGGGTCGACCTCGTCCGCGGGCCAGCCCCGTTTGGATGACCCTCCCAAGCCGAGGACGAAAGCCTCGGTCAGCGGGTCTTGGACAGGAGGAAAAGAGAAGCCGTCGCGCCCCAGCTCGGAGAGTTCGGCGAGGCTGAACTTGTTGTTTTGTTTTGCTGCACGAACGACTGCAATCGTTTCCCTGGAGGGTGGCGTGCTCCCCTTCCTGTCCCTACTCCCTCCCCTCCCTTCTCCCTCCCCTCCCTCCCTCCCCTCCCTCCCTCCCCTCCCTCTCCCTCCGCTCCCTCCCTCCTCCCTCCTTTTTCCCTCCCTCCCCTCATCCCCTCCCTCCCCTCCCATCCCCTCCCCCTCCCCTCCCTCTCCCCGGTCCATCCCCTCCTCCCCTCCCGCCCCTCCCCTTGTCCCTCCAGTTCTCCCTCCGATCCTGCCTGGAGGTCCACCCAGGTGCCGTTGCCGAGGGAGGAGGGGACGCTCATGTGGTTGCCGATCCGTGCGCCTTCGCAGCCGAGATGTACAAGCATCAGGGAGCGGCGCTCTACAGATGGCTCAAGGAATCCTTCTCGAGCTCCCCCTCCTCCTCCACCTCCTCCTCCTCCATCCCTCTCCCTTGTAGGTTCTCCATCCCTGTCGCACCACCAGACGTTTCCCTTGGGCGGGTTGAACGTTTCGCCTGGCACGGGCGGGGCCGCCATGCGACCGATACCAGTTAGGCATTTGGTGGATCTCTCCATGAGCCCACGAATGTGTCAAGGGCGCGTCGAAATCTGGAAGGTTAGAATGATGTGAATGATGACCCGGTGATGATGGGGACATGCGGAGGGCATGAAGAAAAGGGAGACCGCGAGAAAAGAAGGGTTGGGCGTGGCGTTGCGGATTCCACACGAGTCTCCAGCTCCACACAGGAGCGATGGAATTATCAAGCAGCTTCACGGATGGAGCATAGATGTGTTTCAAGATGGCTTGATTGCTTGAGCGCCGCGCACACTTGTCTGAAAAGTTTCAACCGTTACATAGCCGGCGGTTGGGATTGTTTTCAAAATTGGATTCGCTTGAGCGTTGCGCACATGCGTTGTAAAAGCTTGCAGCAGCTACTCTGAAGGAGGGCGGCTCGTTTTCACCAAAAGGCGTCACGCCTGAGATTTCCTAAGTATGCATGGCCCGAAGTTTCAACTTGCACAACATCTATACGGATGGTGGGCGGCTCCTTTAATGGATTCCCGTTTGATTTGTCCTAAATATATGCCGATGGTTCTGCAATTAAGGAACGTTCACACGGATGGATGGAGGGTTGATTATTCCCAAAACGGAGGTGTATTATCACGTGTCCTTCAATTGTATCGCCATACATGTTTACGTGCAGTGTAGCTGGAGGTTGGAAGGTGGGTCGTTGACAAAACGGTTTCTCTCTTGAACGGCAGACCCACGCGATGTTATTCTGTCAAGGGGGGCACTTCCTGCAGTGGAGAAGAATATTTGTATTGTCGTATGAGGAGGGGAAATGGGACGGGCAGGTGCATTGCATCATCGGTGATGCATCTTGGGTTTCTTATAATCCTCCTCTCCTCCATCTTCTCCCCCGCCACCTCCTCCCCTCAACCGTCTCCTTCTCCTCCTCCTCCTCCTCCTCCTCCTCCTTTTCCTCCTCCTCCGTCAGGACCAGCGAACCCCCTTCCTGGTGCGAGCCCATACGTCCCTGGGCAGCAGACTATCCCAGCGAGTCCTCCCCCCACGTCCCAGAGTGGCGTGCATTCATGCCTGCGAATGCATGGCCCAGCTTACTGCAGTTGCGGCCTACAGTCATCGCAGCCAACACCCTGTCTAGAACTGCGTTTGTTCCTCACTCCTTCGAGCTACGTAAGGATGTTCAGCGCCCCGTCCATTGAATGACGTTTGCTGCTGCCCGCGACTGGTGCTAGAGGTTTTGTTTCTCTCTCTGTCTCTTTTTCTTTCTCTCTCTCTCTCTCTCTTTCTCCTTCTGCCTCGGACAACAGGGTCACCAGAGAAGCATTGTAGTCGCGCGTTGTCTTGTAGAGAACGTTGTTTCAGGAGTTCCAGTGGTGCATGCTATTCGTTCGCCGCATCTTTTCGGCTCAAACGGAAAAGGTGCTGTTTGTCAACATCCCACCATAACAATTCATCATGGTGGTGTGAGCTGGCACTGTAGAGCGCGCATGCTGTCTTATAGAGAACGTTGCTTAGGAGTTTCAGTGGTGCATGTTAGTCGGTGGCCGCAACTTGTTTGGCTTAAGCGGGACAGCTGCTGATTGTGAACATCGCACCATAACAATTCATCTCGTCACCTTGGGAGGCCCAAGCCGGGATCGAACAGCTTGGGCGCAGGGGCAAAGGCTGGAGTTGTGGTGGGGTAGGAAGGACGCCGACAAATCCGACGACGAATATGAATATGAAGAGCAGGGGTATGCAGACCACGGGGAAGCTGGAGAAGGCGTACCCAGAGAAGGCGTAACCGGCGTAGCCAGCGACCCAGAAAGCCTCGGCGTCGGAGTGGAGGACGGCGACGGACGGATGTTGAATCCCGCTCTCGCGGCTGCCCGGCTGCCCACTGTCCGCCCTCCAGCCCAGAAGATAGGAGTGTCAGAGAAGCCGCCGCTGGACTCGGGGGCGATCGCCGGCTCCCTCCCGACCACGCCGCTGCGGGCAGGCGGCATTGGTCTCGCCGCATAGGCGTGGAATTCGCGCGCTCCCCCTGCATGCCTCGTGCAATTACTGATCCATGAATTGACGCATGTACGTAGTGCGCGCATGTGCTCCCTCGAACGTACGCCGACGCACTGCGCTGACAGCGCGGTAGAGAACGTACGTCAGGACCGCCGGTCGGCACAACGTCGCGTCGTCCAAGCTGGCGCCCAGCATGCCATGTGCCATGCCGTGGCCCGATATCTGCAACCCAAGGCGCCCCCGCAGCCACCCGATCCAGACTGGGCACCCGCAGCAGCGTTCAATCAAGTCGGTCGCCGTCGCGCTGCATCCAAAGATACGCGGTCTTCGTTGCCCCCGTAGATTTCGCATTCGACGGTCTGTGGTCCATGTGTTGAGCATCGTGCTCACCGTGGTCGCGCATGTGCCCCAATTGACAAACGACGTGGCGAGCTGTCCTGCCTGGGAATTCTGGGAGCCGCCAGCGCGAGAGTCTGGCACGCTTTTTACGTCGGCGGCTAGGCAGAAGGACTGCGCTGGCGGATAGGGCATCGGTAGGATAAACGACCGCGAATTAGTCCGCGATGCACGAGTGGGGAGGAGGAGGAGGAGGAGGAGGAGGAGGAGGAGGAGGAGGACGCCCAGCGGTGGCGGAAGGGAGACGGAGGACGCGCCCGCTCAGAGCAGGGCCAGCCGCGCGGCTGGGCGGCGCCAACGAGAGTCTGACACACAGGCGCATCTCCACGCTGTAGTTGTCCTGCTCCAGCAGAAGCTCGGTGAACCACCACTGCGTCCCACGTTTGAAGCGCCATTCTGTCTGAAGTATAAGCGGTTCAACTGCGACCCCGCCCAGGGCAATTCGCGCTGCCCAGACGTGCACACCGCTTGCTGCATGCTGGGAAGCAAAGCCGTCAAGCACAGTCGGAATGTCTTGCGTGAGCAAGGAATGCCCAAGTCCGCGCGAGACAATTTGTTCCGAACGAGAGCTCACATCCAGCAGTTCCATGCCCAGGCCCCTCCACGATATGCCCCCTGAGCCGTGCGCTTTCCAGGCGTGTGTGCGGAGCATGGCTCCTCGGCACGATCCGAGGAGATGTCGCATCCTCGTCCAAACGCGAAGTTCTGTCGCATGGTGCATGTCTGCGGGCGCGCTCCACAAGTCTGGGCCGGGCTCCACCCTGCGGACCGCGGCCGCTTTCGCATCCAAGGTTGGCTAAGGCGATCGCTCTAGCTGGGCGACGAACAAGATCACAGGTAACACAAATACGTTGCATGTCGTCACAGCCAGATGCAAGCCCAATTCGCCCCATCGCCATTCCCGAAGCCGTTCTGCATAGTTGGCCAACGGTTTCTTCCACGACGTGTTTCATGTTTTGGTCTGATGTAAAATCCAAAGTACTTGCCCGTCGCAGCCCATGTGATTTGAATGACGGAAGGGTCGTGCGCCGTAGCATGCTGTAGCTGCGCAATGCTCCAAGCCCACAGCGGGATGACGACCGTCTTCGACTGGTTGAGAGCAAAATTGGGAATTGCTTCAAACAACGTGGCAAACACTCGCCAGTGATCCCGACACCAGGACCGAATAACCATCGTTCGTCGGCAGACGCCCTGGTTTGTGATGAGAGAAGTCGCAGACCCAGGATTCTCAACAAGCTGTCGAAAGGCAGTGCAAACAGCAACGGCACCAACAAACACCCCTGCTTAATGCCAGCTTCCAGAGATTTGTTCGTACAGGCGCCCGCGTTGGATACGCGTGCCGGTCGTGTTGTGGCACAGCAACGCGAGAACGCCCATGGCGAGAGGCAGAAATTTGGCTGCTTCCGCGGTGACCAGGAGGTAGCGCCTGGACATTGATGGAAACGCCGCCGTCAAATCGAAAAGGACGAGCGCCGCGTCCTCCTCTTTCATCGCGGCAAGCATAGCATTCTGCTCCACCTCAATGACGGTGGACAGCATGGATCCTTCCTGGGTGAAGCCTCTCTGTGTGGGAGCGATTCCTGGGGCCACCAACGGCTTCCATCATATCCGGTATGCGTTAGCGCTCACGCGGATGTCGGCGTTAGTGATGTAGATTGGTCGCGTCCCTGCCGGTCTGTAGATGAAATCTCCAGAGGCGTTGGTCTTGGGCGCGAAGCACAGAGGGAGAGCGTTGAAGTCATCGTGTTCCACGACCCTGGCCAGAAGTCCCCATTCCAACCTTCTGGCCGCCTCCCACAGAATGTGGGTTCCGAGAGGCCCAAGGCAGCGCCAAGCTTGGCATGGAATGGCATCTGGCCGGGTCTGAAATTCCCCGAGTGGACTCCGCCGTCACATCTCGAATTGGACGGCGTGGTGCTCTCAGAGTATCCAAACTTTTTGTCCGTTCTCGGAATGATCTGACCAAACGGCTTCGGAAGCTGCTAAGCGCTCCTGGGCCACCTCAGTCAATGTCGAGCCTCGCACGGATTTGGGGGATGCCCAGTCTGCGTTGATTCGTCGGAGAGCCCGTCAGGCTCTAATCGAGACGTCTGTGGCTGATCCACGTAAAGCCCGAGCCGATGATGCCTCATTAGACAGCTAGACGAGGCACTGCCATTGATCGTGCTGTGCGGGCCAGACCGCACAAGTTTGTTGCTCACGGGATTTCGATGCTCCGAGTGCGAATTTCTGGTTGCTCGGGTCTGCCCTTTAGAGGCTTGTCAGGCCCTTTGCATCGTTGCCATCGGGGTTGACCCGTTGCCTTCCGAGGTCGTTTTGTCGGTCCAGGGGCCCGTCGCGGTTGGGGGCTGCGGTCTTGCATCTTTCCCACGCTTTGGTTTGCTGGGACTTGCACGGTTTGCATTTCTTCAAGAGGTGCGGACGCACCGCGATGTTGGACGGGCGGCAGCTCATTAAGATGTGCGAGGCCCCCATCCAGGAAGGGCATCGAGAATGTGGGCCGCATCCGCAGGGGCGTCTTGCCGTCTTATGTTGGGCCTCCTGAGTCGGCTCCGAGGCTCCGCGAGGTCCACTTGTTGGCCTCGGTTCAGCAGCGGTTGCGTGCCGCCGTTTCGGGATCGGCTTTCTCGGATCCCTCCCCGCCCTTGGTGGAGCCTTCACCCGTCCCGCCTCTCGGCGGGAGCGTAGGGGCTAGGGGCGATCTTCATCTTCCGATTGAGAGCGCTGGAGTCCGAGTTGCGTCTGTCCCCTTCTCCCCCTCTGCACGCTGGACTTGCCAAAACGTTCCAGATGTTGTTTCTCTCTCTCTCTCTTTCTTTCTCTTTCTCTCTCTTAGCACAGCCCTCAGTTGCCATAGGGAGCGCTCGGACAGCAGTGCGAGTAGTTCGCTCAGCTGCTTCATACCGCCAGCACCAGGTACGGATCCCCACTGGTGACTTACCGCAGGCGCACTTGCCCGCGTCACCTGTCCACGCCGTGTTCCCCGCATTGTCAGGAGACGGCTGCGAGGCCAAGGAGCGCAAAGAAGAGTGCGGCCCGAGTCGGCCACGCAGCACAGATGTACGTTGGAGCTTTTGCCTAGGCGCTTCCCCCGGCGAGTCTTTGCGTAGCCGCCTTTTCGTGACCAGACGGCGTGCTTGCGCGCCCGTGATTACCAGATGTTTTCGGTTTGCCCCATCGATGTCCTCCTTCCGCAAACCCTCTGCTCTGGAGGAGGGAGAAGGGAGGAGGGAGGACTTTCTCCTGCTACGTAATCGTTGACAACGCTCAGGCGACGGCCTCCCTCAGAGGCACCAGCACCGAGCACGGAAGGAACCGTATATAGCCGCGCATGCGCGACGCACGATGCTCTCAGTTGGAGCGACGCATCCCGGGCTGTGAAGGTGCTTTGTTTCTTCTTGCTTTCTTGTAGTTTGCGCTTGTTTTGCGTTGAGCGGGCATTAAGTGTTATGCGTGTTGCGCCCTGTCAGTGCGAGAGGCATCAAGGTCTAAAGCATCGCCGACTCGGGCTAGGGCAAAGGGAATTGAGGAATTGCCAAAAGATGCGGCAGAAGAGATGTTGCCTATGAGGGTGCAGAGCCTTCTTCATGCGTCTTCTCCTGGCAGGTCCCGGGGTGCCCAGAGAGGCGAGGGGGCCTCCTGGAGCGTCGGGAAGCCGAAAAGGCGAGAACGCCAAAATCTTGCAGATACTTCCCAGCAGGTCATGGTTTTGGCCTTTTGGGGCCCTCTTGAGAGGCCTCTTGGAGGCCTGTAGGGACGCCCTGGCTCTCAGCCCTTCCTCACTGCTGTGGCCGTTCCGAGGGATGCCATGCAGTGGTGAGGCCGCCGCCCGCGCACTGCAGCCAGGTCGCCTGCCCGGCAGCCGCCCTGGCGCGGCCACCCTTTTCTCCGGGCATCGATCGGACGTGCGCATGCGTTCTCGGCGAGGAGCCTCTTGAGCCATCGTGATCGAACAATCTACCGTCATAGCTCCGCCCCGTTCTCTTGGCATCGATCGGACGTGCTTGTTTCTCGGCGAGGAGCCTCTCGAGTCACCGTGTGAAAAAGTGAACGCACGACATCGAAAAAGACACGGGGAATGGACGTCCGAGCCATGGCGGGCTCTACGGGACACTCGAGGCACGCCCACGCATTGCCCGCTGTCGAGGCAAAAGCCCAGAAAAACTCCTTCTCTCCTCCATCTACCCTTGTGCGCGAGCTGGCCAGCCCCTGCGATGCCCTGCGAGTTTCCAGGCAGCAGCGCGAGTCTATGGACGGGTGTAACGGAGGCCTGCGGCCCAAGGTTCTATCCAGGTTGTAGGTTTCCCTTCATGACTCCGTCGAAGACCCCATTTCCATTCCTCCATCCTCCCTCCTTATCCCTCGTCCCTCCTCCTCCGCCTCCTTTTTCCGAGGATGCCTCCGAAAAAGGAGGAAGAGGGACGAGGGATGAGGAAAAAATCTCATCCCTCCCCCTTTGAGAAAAAACTCCAGCTCCTCCTCTTCTCAAGCCTCGACCGTGGACCTCCGCGGGCGTGCGCTCTGGCCAGAGTACGGAGGAGGAGGTCAAGCCGCGGCGACGAGAGGCGGCCTGGGCGGCCCACCGAAACGGGGCAGCAGAGATGCTCAGAAGCCTCGCCCTTTGAGGCTCGATCCCCTCTTCATCCTCCCCATCCAAGCCTCCCAGATGGGGTCGGAGCACATGAGGCCGAAGGATCGCGCCGCATCGCCACTGCATCGCCGATGCGGCTCGATGTGGAGCCCGATTTTCTCCACGCCGACGACGCCGATGCATCGCAAACGTCGCCGATGCATCGACAATGCATCGGCGATGCATCGCCGATTCGGCGCGATGCTCCGCCCCCATCTACTCGGACCCCATCCAGGAGGCCTCTATCCCCTCGGCTGCACGACAGAGTGACCTTTCGCTGGAGTGACCTTTGGTGCGGACCCATCAGGGTCCCCCGATCGCCGAACGCGATGCGGTGGTAGCGTCTTGCGCTCTCGTGTTTGGCCCCCGCAGACGACGACGACGACGACGACGACGACGACGACGACGACGACGACGACCAAAGGTCACTCCTACCCAGGGGCACTTTTGCGCGTAGCCGATCCCCATCAAATACCAATTCCTGGGCATCTCCTTGGGTGCGTTCTGACCCGAATTTTGAAAAGGAATCCATCCGCGGCGCATACAAAGGGCCAAAAAGTCACAGAAACTTCGACCTTTGAGATTCGGTCTCCTTCTCCTCCGCCTTCTCCTCCTCCTTTCACCCCACTCGGAAAACCGATTCGTGGGCATCTCCTTGGATGCGCTCTGGCTCCAATTTCGCTGGGAATCCAGCCGTGGCCACTAGGGCGGCCTAGGAGGCCCTAAATAAGCGAAAAGAAGAAAAACTCGGCTCTCGAAGTTCGATCCCCTCCCCCTCCCTGGTCCCTCCCTTCTTTTACGAGGCAATTCTTGGGAGGTTTAATCCAGAATTGGCGCTGGCATATCCGCGGTCGAAGACCAGCCCAATCTGGCAAAGTCCGTTTAATCCAGTCTAACCAGGCATTATATTGGGCTGAATCTGGCATAAAAACGGTATTCTGACTTGGTCTGTTAACCCTTAACAGTTCTGACCAAGAGTTCACAGGAGTGGCCTCCTAACCCCTTTGCCTCGCCAAGGACCAGAAGAGAATCGTGCTGTCGGCGTGGCTGCGGTCGGTGCATGCGCCGTGCACTGGCAGCAAGGCCGAGCTCGTAGATAGAGCTGCGAGACTCGTCGAGAAGAACACGAAGCGCTAGTGACAAAATGCCCCGTCGAGGATCGAACTTCGAGGTTCTAGGATCGAGGAGTTTTTTCCTTCTGCAGGCCCCCGCGAGGTTCCTCGTCGCCGCGGCTCGATTCCCTTCAAAACCCTGGCCAGAACGCATCCGTCTGGGCCGACTTTTGACCCTCTGAGTCGTGAAGAAATTTCGACGGAAGGCGTTGGGCCATTTTCGGTTTCTCGGGGCCTTTACCGGGCCCAGGGACCCTCCAAAAACGACCCAGTGAGAAAAAAACGTCTTGGGCAAAGTCGAGTCCTCCAGGGGTCGACGTTGTCTGAAAAACACGACGTCGGAGGGTGGGCATCGCAGCCCCGCTTCGTCCTCCAATACTTTACTCACTTATTCTAACTGCATGACGTGACCACCTCTCTGGGAATCGCCGCTCAATTTATTCTTCCCATCCGGCCACCTCCCGGTCCGACTCATTATTGTTGTTCTGGGTCGGCGGGCGATTTCGGCAGTAGGTGTGAAGGACACATCGCGCCTTCAGATGCTGTGAGCTGTTGACGCTGCGCAGAATCAGAGCAAGAGGGGAAAGAGGGCAGGACAGGACAGGACGTGAGGAGCACGGCGCTTCGAGAGAATAGGAGAGGAGGAGGAGTTTGGACGAGTGTCCAGACATCGCGGTCGCACGACGCAACTTTGGGACACCACGGATCAAGCGGAGTTCTTGTCTGTGGATCGACACGGGTTTCGTACCCCAGAGTTCCAGCGCTAAATCCCAGGGTTTCTCGGCTTGCTTGAGGTATCCGCCAGGCTCCTCATTGGGCGACGTCCGTGAATAGCGGCGATATTTGAGAAGTGTTCCAATGTTCCATTCCGACGTCGCCGCTTTATCATGTTCCCTCTCCTCCATAAAACGCAGCCACATCTTCTCCGCACGTTTCACCCCATCGCTTGCTCTGCCGCCGTTTCACCCCTATTTCTTGCCACCACGTCCCCTCTGCCTGTCGCAGCCGCCTCGGCCTAGATCTGAACGCTGCACAGAGATCCGACGCCACGTGCAGCATCATAAGACAACTCGACCAGAGCCCTGGACCCCATCTTCGTGCTGCATTTCACGAGCCAGATCGATCCCTGAGGGTCGGGTCGGGCGAAAGGGGGGGATTGGGAAAGGGGGGGTTACGAAATTTGCTGCATGCAGCTGGTTTCGGCCTCACCGAGGGGCCAATTCCTCGATACATGGCCGCTCCCGGCGCCGGGAGGCGCCAGGAAAATCAGCTACGTGAGCTGATTCTCAAACCCCCCCTTTGCTATCCCCCCCTTTCGCCCGACCCGAGAGGGTCCCAGGGCCAGAAAAAAGGCAGAATCGCCAGTGGCGCAAACAGTGCGACGCCAACCTACGGCAACGACGCCACCGATGTGCGACGCGTTGGCCTTGACCGCTTCGGCCGCCGACGCGCGGCGCTTCGCCGCCGATGCCGTCGCACCCGACCGTGGCGAGAGGGGCCGCGAGCGCGCCACGATCGCCAGCGTGGGCCCCCGCGTCGCACGCTCGGCCGGGGTCGGGCTTCTGCCCGCTCCTCCTCCTCCTCCTCCTCCTCCTCCTCCTCCTCCTCCTCCTCCTCCTCCTCCTCTTCCTCCTCCCCTTCGGGCCGCCCGTCTGGCGGGGAGCTGTACTTCTGGGGATGAGAGCCCAGCTGTATGAACGTGGGGGGGAGGGAGAGGGAGAGGGAGAGAGAGGGAGAGACGCCCTGATGTGCCATTCCTTGGCATCGCTCGGACGTGTGCAGTTGTCCTCGGCGAGGCCCATCGAGGAGAATGTTGGATCACCTTGCAAAAACACACACACACACACACACACACACGCGCACGCACGCACGCACGCACGCACGCACACGCACACACACACACACACACACACACACGCGCGCGCGCACACGCACACGCACACGCACACGCACACGCACACGCACACACACACACACACACACACACACACGAGACCGACAAGTGCACGGAGATTGGACGTCCGAGCGATCGGCAGCCATTCGGCAGAATGGCAAGAAGGGCAGCCTCCGTGCCTGGACCCAGGGAGTCCCGAGGGCCTTCGTCTCGACTTGCTTCTTGTTCCCCTCCGTCTGTCCATTTGGGAACTTGGCATCGCGGAGCATGTTCGGTCACCTTGCGAAAAAATACACGCACGAAACCGAAGCATGCACGAGGAAGGGACATCCGAGCGATGGCGAGGGAAGGCGTGGAAGAGCAGCAGAAGTGGGAGAGGAGGAGGAGGACAGGAGTTTCTTGGGGACCCCTTGAAGCTAGTTTGGAGTTTTCCTGAATGCTTTGGTGGCCCTTGCGGCCTCTTCGGGATCTGTTCGGGCTCGTTCGGGAGCCGTCCTGAAGGCCATCGGCAATACCGGGTGTCCAGAATTCGATTGCCCCTTTTGGAGACCAAAGGTTTACCTCTCGGATCACCAGGTCTACTAAGCCTCTACGCCCCCCAGTGTCTAGGCGGGCCGCCGTCGCCGAATCTGTTTTTTTGCGAAGTGCACCTAGTGTTCGGGACCGCCGCCGCCGCCGCGAGTTTGTGGTGGGGTCTCCGGCCGAGCTCGCCCGCCGCCGAAATGCCAGGATCACCGTCGGTCATCGTCGTTTTTCAGTGCCACCTCTCATTTGTGCAATGTCTCGCCGCCAGTTTTTTTGTACCACCTACGTTGTGTCCGGGGCGTCGGCCGCCAGATTTTGGGACCCCCCTGCATAGTGTTTTATGATTTTTCGTCGCCGCCGTGGGAATTCCCGTGGATAGCTTTTCTAGAGTGTCGACCTGGTGATCCTCTCGGGCCCCATCTTGGGACTCTTGGAGTGCTCTTGGGGGCCTTTGTGCGCGCTCCCTAACTAACGGCGAAGCGTGACTGAACAGCTCGGCCCCTGGCCCCCCCGCCAGGCCAGTGCTGAGGGGCGAGCACATGTGCAGGCGCGGCGCCACGCCAGGTGCGCGAGCGCGGATCACTGTTCGGGAGCTGAAGACACCAAAAGTGCACCCGCAATATCTTCACCGGCCCGTTTAAAGCTGCCACAGAAGCAGCCTCATCCACCCGCTTCAGAATTCAAACTATAAATCGTCGCCCTCCCGCCGAGAACTACAACCGACACATCCGCACAAGATGATTATCTCCACCCCTACCCACCCACCCAGCCTACAAGTGCGACCGATATGGTTTCGCCTTCTCGCCTACAAGTGCACCCGAAGTATCATCACCCACCTGCCTGGACCCACAACCCATGTATCCTTACCCACCCGCTTAGGAATGATCCTCACCCGTCTAAAATTGCAACCGAAAAATCGTCACCCACCCACCTAGAACAGCCACCCGCAGGTCCCACCCACCCGCGTAAAATTGCCACCCAAAAAAACCCTCACAACGCCAGCCTAATAATGCAACCAGTAGAATCACCGACCCGCTCAAAACTGCCACCCACTTGTTTAAAATTACCACCAAAATGTGTCGCCGCTCCGTTTTTTCCGACGCGCGGCCTTCAGTCTTGAGGAGTGTGCCGCGGCCATCAGGGCAACTCCGCCTCGAGCGTGGCGGGTTCGCCGTGGGTCTGCCGCAGTGCCGGCCTCGCTTTTATTTGGGGCACGGGACGCAGGGTTGGGGCGCGTTCAGAACAAACGGCGCGGCGACATGTGATGACCCGCTTAGCTAAAACAAGTCACTGGGCGAATGGCCGAACCCCATGCAGCTGCGTGCAGCGCAGGGCCCAGGGCGTGCCCCTTCCGTCATGTACTGCTCGCTGCCAGACTGCGGGGAGCTGCTGAGCAGGCGCGCAGATGCGCGCTGAGCTCCTTGCGGGGCACGAGTCCGCGCGAGGGTGCGCCAAGAGGGGCGATCCGCACGCGAACGTGCCCACTGAGGTCGAAGGTGGACGCACGGCGCACGACGCCCACGACGACGACGACGACGACGACGACGACGACGACGACGACGACGACATCGACGACATAGGGGGCGCGATCCGCGTCAGGGGGGTCCTGGTATGGGCGGAGGGCCGCATGCGAACGCGCCCACTGAGGCCGTGTTTGAAGACCCGTCTGAGAGCACTATCCGCTTCAGAGAAGTGCCGAATTGGGTGGCTGCAACGCGTGCGAGTCCCTCCGCTGGGATCAGAGGTGGACCCCTATATGGGACACAATGGGCGTCAGGGGTGTGCTCATATGGGCGTAGGCACGCACGCGAGTTCCTTCACTACGGCTATAAGTGGAGATCCCCACGGGGGCACGATCTGCGTAAAGGATGCGCCGAATTGAGCGGTTGTAATTGGCAAGCGTTCCCCCACGGGTGGGGCTCCTTGTGGCGGCACAATCCGCGAGACGGGTGTGCCGAATTGAGTGGTGGTAACGGCGATGAGTTCAATCCCTGGCAGAGGGGTTCAATTCTTGGCGGAAGGGTTCAATTCCTGGAAGCAGGTTCAATCCCCGGCAGGAGGTGTCAATCCTAAGCATCCACCCTTATTTCATGTCAAGATAAAGGGGGACTCTTGAGCTCAGAGTACTCACGCGAGTCCTTAATGTAATCACATGAAGTCTGTGAACATTTCTTCCCAGGGATTGAACCCTTTCTGGGGTAGTGGCCCGTTTGGAATTGAATTCATTTCCTTCCGATTGGAAACAAATTTGGCACTTAATAGGATACAAGACGATCCGATTAGAATGCCATCGCATTCCTTTCTGACGGAATCCTGATTCCTCTCTGTCGGGTTCCGATTGGGATCCAAAGTTTTCTTGACATGGGAATCCGATTGGGCTATTTTGTTGGTCCCCGTTGAAATCCAATCATGTGCATTCCCCTTGTGTTCGTATTGCTCCAGTTCCTTCAGGAATCCTATTGCAACCCAGTAGTATGATCAACCACTGGATCCAGTTGGGCTCGTAATGGGTCCTTTGGGATATACTATGTTTCCAAGCGGTTGGATTCCTCTTGGGACCCAATTAGGT